GACCAGAGCTGATCCGAGGGCTGAGTTCGAGCGGCACCTGCGGCTGGCGTTTGACAACCGGGTGGCCACTGATCTGCGGTTCAAAGTGGATGATGAAGTCATCGACTGTCACCAAACGGTTCTCAAGATTCGGTGCCAAAAGTTTTACGCCAATTGCCATAAATATCTGCAGAACTGTCACAACAACTCAAATGTGATACTCATTCAGAGCTACAGTTTCGAGGCGTTCCACTCGTTCATAGCCTACTTGTATGGCATATCGGCGCCGGTGGTCACCGATCGCACGGTGGGAGCGCTGCTGAAGTTGGCCACCACTTACGAGGAACAGGAGCTCAAGGACTGGTGTCTGAGACACGTGTCGATGGCTAATGTGTGCAGTCTTTACGAGCAGTCGGTGGACAGGCATTGGAAAGACCTGGAGATCGCGTGCTTCGAGTTTATGACCGACAACTGGAGGTCTGTCTGCGGTTCCGATCAGTTCTGGGCTATGGATGAGACGCTGTCCAAGCGATTGATGGCTGAGTTCGTGAAGTGAATCCGTGGTGTCGATGGCGGCGAAGAATTGTCTCATATTTTGTGTTCATTTGATTGCAGTTGCGATCAGTTTTTTGTGCATTAATTCATGTTTTGATTGACTTTTATGTATGTTTTTTGTAATCAATTTTGTGAAATAAAATTAACTTTTAAAATAGGTTTTTGTTTAATGAGTTAATGAGTGGCAGTGAGTGAGTGAGAGAGAGAGAGAGAGAGAGAGAGAGATTGTGTTTATGTGAAAAGCCTAGAGTTTATTCACATTTATATTGAAATGTATGCTAATTATAAGGAAATGTATTTAATTTTTAATTTTGTTACTAAATTCAGAGTTTATTTAACTCATTTGCATATAAAAAAAATATATAATTTTCAAATTAAAATGTTTTGATTGCAACACACAAAAATCTTTATTAGGATTTTAGTCCATAAAAAGCAATACAATTAATTTAAATATGTTTTGCACACATTTGGCGCTAATTTTTATTATTATTTTCTAGCTTATTAAACAATTCCCACTTAAATCAATACAAAACACTGTATTGAGCAAACTTTTATTACCCAGATTCATTTGATAATTAGTTTCGCACCACAAAACACATCCAAAACTATTAGATAAAAGCCAATGACTCGTAAATTATAGCCAAAAACTTCTCACTTTTCAGTTGAGTTTCGCATATATTTTGCGCTCAAATATAATGCGAAATATTGTCATTATATTTGCGTTGAGTGTCTGTCCAGTGGTTCACGTGTTTGGCGACCACTTAGGCGTCAGTTTTTACGCCAAAAACAACGGCAAAACACATGTCCGACCCGAACAGCCGGAGCCCACCGACCCGCCGGAGCTCGAGTTGGAGCCCGAGCCGGAGGTCGAGTGGGAACCGGAGGTCGAGCCAGAGGTCGACCCCGAGGCCGAAGTAGAGCCAGAGGTGGAGCCCGAGTGGGAGCCGGAGTCGGAACCTGAAGGGGAATGGGAGCCCGAGTCGGAACCGGAGGGGGAGCAGGACTGGAGCCGCTCGACCACCACAACCCACCGGCCCTACCATCGACCCGAACTGGATCACCAGCACTGGTCGACCACTAAAAGGCCTCCCCGTCCGCGCCCGGAGGCCATCCGGAGTACCACTCGTCACCCGAAGCCTACCCGACCTAAGCCTAAGCCCGAGTGGGACCCGTGGGACGAACACACGTGGGTCACCCCCACCCCACCCAAGCCCACCACCACTACGACTCAGCCGAGCACTGAACCGGAACCGGAGGCCGAGGAGGACGAAGACCTTTGGGTTACCGTTCCTCAGATACCCACTGAGTCGACCACAAGGCGGCCCCGACCTGAGCCCCATCCGCCCCACCACTCGACCACTACTACTACGACAACCACTCGTAGGCCTCGGCCCGAGAGTGAGCACCACTGGACAGCCGTTCCCATCACTACCACCACCACTACTACTACAAGGAAACCAAGACCTGAGACCACTTCCCGACGGCCGCGACCCGAGACAAGTAGACCAGAACCGGAACGCCCGACAACTACTACCCGACGGCCCCGACCTGAGACCACACCAGAGGCTGAACGCCCGACTACTACTACTACCCGCCGACCCCCACCTGAACCCGAGTGGTGGACAACCACTACACGTAGGCCTAGACCTGAGACAACGACAACTACACCCGAACCCGAGCGGCCGACCACTACTACAACCACTACTCGACGGCCCCGACCTGAGACCACAACACCTGAGCCCGAGTGGTGGACAACCACTACGCGAAGACCCAGACCAGAGACTACACCAGAGGCTGAGCGCCCGACCACTACTACTACTACTACTACTCGTCGGCCACCACCTGAACCCGAGTGGTGGACAACCACTACGACTTCAACCCGACGGCCCAGACCTGAGACTACACCAGAGGCTGAGTGGACAACCACTACGACTACCACCACTCGTAGGCCCCGACCTGAGACGGAACCGGAGGTCGAGACCACAACCACTACCACTACTCGTAGACCACATCCAGAAACAACACCCGAACATAGACCCAGACCTCCCATCCCCACAGAATTGCCCGAAATAATAATCCCGATCCACGAGCCGCCCGATCACCACTTCCCGTACCCACCCATTTCCGGAGGTCCACCGCCAGGTTTGTGACAATTATGAGGGAACTGTAACTTACAAACAAGTATTTTTCTGTTTTACTAGAGTGTCAGACAATTAGGTGTCGACAGGGCTACCGGTGCGATTGCGTGAACCCATGCCCGGCTACTTGCAAAGAGCCCAACCGTAAGCCGTGCACCGCATACGTGTGCAAAGTTGCCTGTGTATGTGCTCAGGGTTATGTGCTGAACAATAACGGCACCTGTATCCCCGTGCAAAGTTGCTCTATTCCGGAACCTCCACCACCATCGCCTAATAGGCCAGGTATGTGTTGGTACTACTGATGGATAACTTTACAGAATATTCTGGATTATTCCATAATTTTGGGTATAGTTTGCAACAAAGTTTGTACAAATGGTAAGCAATGCGTTTGCGAGAATCCATGTCCGGCTACCTGTGCTGAACCCGAGCCCACCTGTTCCGCGGTTCAGTGCAACCCAGGCTGTCATAGGGTGTGCCGTAAGGGACAGGTGTTGGATAGGAAAGGCGGTGAATGTATACCATTGGAGTACTGTCCGAGTGAGTGAACTATTGTTTATTTATTAAATTTTTTCAAAGAATATTCTGTGTCACAACAATATTTAAATATAATTATTTTCAACTTTTATTGTAAATAGCTGACTCACTAAATAAGTGTATTACGGTATAATAATTTTAAAAAATTGGTTCCTTTAGAAAAATTTGTAAGTTTACAGTATTAACTTATTATTATAATTTAGACTGTAATACTGTATTTCATATACAATTGCAGTAAATATATAAGTCAATGAATTATTTAAACTGGGCAGTAAGTGAATGAACTAGTACAGTATATCAACTCTATTAATTTTAAAATCACGTTAATCCTAATAAAGCTACCTACATACATTTAGAACCTAAATTTTACATACTTTATTTAACTACTTATCGTATAAAAACACATTATAAGCATGGTTATTTACGAAAACAGACCGCCAGTGCATTCAGCATCCCTGTGCCGATCGCGATAACGAGGTCTACCACGAGTGCTCCACACGATTCTGTAACCGCACGTGTCAGACGCCTAACATATTCTGCCCGCCCAGTGATGTCCAGTGCGTAAAGCCGGGCAACTTTGACTGCCGGGCGGGCACGGTTAGGGACACGCGCACCGGGCGGTGCGTGAACTACGCCCAGTGCGCCCAACCTATTGTGTGCGACCGTCGCGACGAGATGTTCTACGAGTGCGACACTCGCACGTGTCAGCGCACGTGCCACAGGCCGGACAGCACCTGTAGTAACACGGCGTGTAGGCGGCCGGGCAATTGCGACTGTAGGCCCGGTTTGGTGCGTGATTTGCGGACGTGTAGGTGCGTCGATAGGAATGAGAAGTCGTGCGCCGCTCAGAGAGCGCCTGACGATTAGGTGGGGCTGAGTGTGCCGGGGCAAAAAGTTTTTTTTTATTTTTAAAAATTTTGTTTGAATAGTGTTTTTTTTATGTAATTAATACGCTGACCAAATACTGTAGTTGCTATACTTGTTAAATTTAGTGTTAAAATTTTAAACCAACTTATTACTATAAACTGTATTAATGTATTTCATATATAAATGTCCTGTAAATGTATGCGTCAATGAATTATTTAGTTTGGGATTCATTGTAGTTTCAGTTAGTATTTATTTTTACAACATTAATATTTTAGTAATTCATTTTTTTCATTTACATGTATTTGTTATTATTATATTATTATTTATACCAAAAAATAGTATTTGATTTATACAGTATAAGTTATACTAATTGATTATTGATGCTATACTACAGAACTAATAAAACAATGTCTAGAATTTATAAATAAAGTATATTTCAAAAATTATACAATTATTATTATAAACTGTAATAATATATATCAAATAAAAATCAGATATTTTTATGATTCATTTAAATTGATAATTTTGGCAATTGGGGATATTGGACCCTTTGATTATGACTAAATAATTTTACTTTTCTTGATTCATTCTTGGTAAATTAGACTGTAATTAAAACTTGATTGTGGTTAGGTTTTCATTACAGCCAGAACCTTATAAGTAAGTTACTGTATATTATTTTATGTTGATTTTAATGATATTTTTTGTAAAGGTTAGAAAATTCATTATTAATTTGTATATGCTATATTTTTACTGTTTATTTTACTGTAAATGCAATTATCAATAGCAATTAATCGCTGTATCTATGTTGACAAAATTTATTTTAAGATTTATTGTATAAATTATTTAATTTAATAAACAATTCGTAATAAATAGCAAGGTAGTTATGACACAAGTAACTTTCACTCAAAAACCATTGGCCACTGGTGTCTACCATACGGAGCACTTATGTACGGAATTCATAGGCGATCCTAACGGGCAGTTAAACACACGGGAAAAGTCATGCGAGTTGGATAGGGCACCGTTGATCCTGGTACAATATAACACAATTAATTTCTACTACATTACTACCCGTCCACTAACACATACCTATACTGTTTAGGTGTGTGCGAGTCGTTCAAAATGAGATTCTTGAGGGACTCCTTGTTATGTTTAGCGCAGTAATGGGTGCCATAACTGACCCAAAATAGCTGCTCCGGCGTATAGGGCAGCGCCGGTAAGCCGGGCTCGGGTCCGTTCACCCGTACGTACCTCTCGTAGGCACTGAACGCCAATTTGATGCCTCCGTTGTCGGCGATGTTCTCGGCCTGAGTGCGGGCGCCGTTCACTCCCAGCCCCAAGTGGTCGACATAATAGTCGCCGTATTGGCGCACAAAGCACTTGGCTTTGTGCCGGTAGTGGCGGTCGGTGTCGCCCGTCCACCAGTAGTTGACATTCCCGTCGGCGTCGAAGTGTCGCCCGTGACTGTCGAAGCCGTGAATGATCTCGTGAGCGGCCGTCTTGGCGATCGACCCGTAGTTTAAGTAGCTATTCGATAGGGATATAAATTAGCAGGGTATTATATGAGAGTATACGTGGATTATTATTAACCTGTTTGAGTTTAAATTTTGTGATATATAATATTAACTATTAACGAGTGGTTAGAAAATTGGAAAATGTATTAAAAATAATTTTATGTAATTACAGTAAGTTGTTGTCAAATAATTTTAATTCTTAAACCATTTCTGAGCCAAAATTAATCATTTAAAGGAGTCATACAAATAGCTGCTTTTTGCAATAAACATAGTATTGCAGTTTTTAATAATGTTATAATTTTTGAAATTGATTTTAAAGTTATAGTATACTTCAGCGTTTTCTACCGCTTTTTAATATTTAAAATTAATGAGACATTATTGATTTCAGTCATATATATATGAGCTGTAGATAAAGTATTTTATAATCTTAAATATCATTACTATTTTTCTATGTTTATAATAACCTATTAATTAGACTTTATAACCTGTTTTGAGTAAGTTAATAATCATTAATTTAAATCATTTATATATAAGGTAATTAAAATATTACAGTTTTTAAAATTATTTGATATATTAAAACATATATTATGGTAATTGAAAAATATTTACTTTAAGTTAATTAGTATTTGTAGAACTATTTTACAATTATTAAAAGCTGTAATAATATATTAATTACAAAAATCAGCTATTTTTATGGCTCATTTAAGTAAATATTTTGGATCGACAACTTACTGGATTACTTTTAATACATTTTATAATTTTCTAACCACTAATTATTTCTAAATGGAAAACATGTCGGAATAGTTACTATATTGAAAAATAAACTAAATGTATGCAGTGTTTCCATATCGACCTTTCCTAATACACACACTATAATAAACTTATAAACTAAACCCGATAATAACAAATAATTCTAATTGAGATAATAAAATACTATAATAATAATACTGTAATAGTATTGTAAAAATAAATAATAACACGAATATTTTTTCATCCAAACTAAATAATTCATTGACTTATATATTTAGCGATAATTTATATGAAATGTATTATTACAGTCTATAATAAGATAGGACATAATACTTAAAATTTTTAAAAATAAATTTGTAACTAATAACTAGACATAAAAATATAATTTAAATATCACGCCTATATTATAATATTTTAAAATCACATAGTGTAACTAAAAATAATGTATGTTAAATTAAATTGTATTATAAATGTCATACTTAGGTCTGTCCTTATGATAGAAAACCCCCTCAAGAATGCCCGCAGGAATGACAACAGTATTCTTAACCGTATTGTAGAAAGCGTTAGCCATAGCCAGTGAACTGACCCGTCGCCAACTGGGAACACAATTAAAATTAACAAACTAACAAGCTACTTAATTTAATGTATTATATACTCACTCGTGAATGTCATTTGGATTCCTTAATGAATTATAAGTGGAGTTATGTTTCCATTGGTTTATATGCATAATATTCCCGAAAAAGTCACTCGAGTTTATAGCTAGCTAAAAAATGTGATAATTAATAGTAACTAGTTAAAAATATAAATATTTATATTGTAATTAATAACGAAATAAAAATTTGCAAAATTCCCCTAGTACCATTTCATAAATTTGATCAATGCTAGTCTCGTTCAAAACTTGCTCAGGGTATCCGACTATAATTCGCATTTTATTTAACTTATCCAACGCCCTGTCCATTGTCTGCCTGTCCAGCCAGGCCTGTCGTGTGGTTAACGTGTGTTTGAACTCCAGTTTCACATTATCTATCAGTTCCGATGCCTTCATAAATAAATTCTCGTTAATACAGAATATTCTGTAATAAGACTACAAAATAATTACAAAACCTTTTGCTTGATATCAGTGGAGAAATAGTGTTTGATGTATAGGTGAGATACCAGTGCCGGTAGAGCCGTGTCCACGGTTTTCACGCACTGATGCCAACGGGGACGTGAGCTACCGGTGCCGTGGATTACGCGCTCGTACTGTCGCCTCATTTGAACCCAATCCTCGGTTAACGACATTTGTTTCGACAAAATCACTCTCCAAACGATATAATTGACTAAAAGTCTAGAAAATAGAAATATATTAATAAAAGTGAACATAATTTACAATTAGTTTTAAAATATATAATGTTGTATTAAAAATATGACTGTAATATAATACTAGTATTATTACAGTTAATAATAATTGTACAATTTTTGGAAATTAAAAAAAATTAGTGTAGACTTGACTCTAATCCAAAATAATAAATTTATTGACTTATATATTATGAAAAGTTTTAAATGAAATATACAATTACAGTCTATAATAAATAGTTAATATAGTACTAATTTTAGTATAAAAATGAGATATCTATTAAATGTCATATGAATTATTCAAAATACTTAATAACTTTACCTATTATTAGTAGCGTTAATCAATTTATTAAGCCGTTGTATGAACGAGGTATCGTTTAAAATAATCTCATCAGACTCAGTTATATTAGCGCCACTAATAAAATATGCGATTATTTGCAACCAATCAATCTATAAAAATAAATATTTTTGTGAAAATATTTTAACAAATTTTTATAACTCTTGGCTTACATTTGGGGAAATGTGTTGTAATTTACTAATCGCTACCCTATTATACACGGATTTCAAGTAATCCCGTTCCTCTCTAGACAATGAATTCTTACATAAAAAATATGAATTAAAAATTAAAATATTTAAAAGTTAACATGTTCAATTATGTACTTACATCGAGACCGAAATCGCTGTCAATGCCATCGAAATCCACATTCATTTCGTATAAAATAACTGTTAGATTACGCCGTAATTCCTTAGCCATAGATATCTTATAAAAACAAAATATATTTTTAATAATTCAATAACTTTTTTCGGGAAATACACTATACATTGGCTAAAGTCCTTTCAAACTCTATTATGGAGTCGACTGTACTCTCAATTTGAGTGATAGACTGATTTGTGGCTAATTTCGCGACACTTTTCGTCATTAACTCTCTGTAAGCCACGTATGAGGTGTCGATGCCGTCGCTGAGCAGTGAATCCCTGCTCAACCCAAACGAGGGCTGATCTAACTGTCCGTAAATAAAAAACATATGATTTTTACGCTAACCTTACAGAATATTCTGTGCTTTTTTACACATACTGTTAACACTTTTCTAGTGTTATTACGGATGTCGGTGGACACGGATAGTGTGAATAGCATACTATTTATGAGACCCAGGTCACGTAACTTTAAATACAAGTCACTCCATAAGATTGTGGTACTATTAGCCGATAAATCCAGTGGCCATTCATTATCACCGATCAATTGATCCAATAAATCACGCAATGGTTTGTCGCCTATTTGCTCAATCAACGCTATAAAGTAAAACAATTAATTGTGAACAAGGTTATATTTATAAATTACTTTATAACTCACTCGTATTCATACAGCTGTCGTAATAATCCTTAGCTTTTCGTACTATAGCCGAGTCGTTAGTACCGATGCCATCGAAAAGTCCTATAAAATAGCATTTATTAAGTTATTGACAAAACTTTTAAGTTATTATAGAAAATACCTTTCAATCGATAATTAATTAATTCCTGCAAATCGTTGAACGAGTTCAGCGACGACTTGTGGTCGGGTATGACCACCGATGACATCCATTTCCCACACGAAAAACGGTAGAAATCATCGCATGGAGAGACAGTATCGTCGAGCGATTGGATTATTCTGGCGGCTATTAAATGGCATTAAAAAACAGTTTAATTAATAAATAATTTGAAAATATTTTCAATACATACCTTCTTGAATACAAATAGGAGTTAGGCATAAATTTTGTTGATTATTGTAGCTAGCATGATTTACTTTGACACTACTGTTAGTATCTAATAAATTACTATT